GCCAGTGACATGCAAAAGAAAACTGACGAATTATGGACGGATGTTGTATGGGCTAGTGATGAGGTTGAGTATGATCAAAGGTTGAACCAACTTGAGCAGACGTGTGTTGATTGTAATGAATTTATTGATTATGTGAAGGACACATGGTTGACACCACATAGACAAAGATTTGTTGGAGCATGGATTAATCGAGTGCTACATTTGGGTAACACTACGACTAATCGGTATGTATTTATTTTTAGTATTTCTAAATTGTGTTTTTTTTTAATTTTTTAAAAATATTTTAAATATGTATTAATTTTTGGGTTGAGTCTGCTCATTGGAAGTTAAAGCAAATGTTGGGGAACAGTATTAGTGACATGGTCAAATGTTGTGAGGCTATGAATGACAACTTAAAGTTACAATTGAGTAATATTAGAGCTTCTTTTTAAAAGAGTTTTTATGAAGTTGAGCACGCCCACGTAAGTCCATTTTACAATAATTTACGTGGTTCAGTGTCTCGAGATGCATTGAGACGCATTGCTGAAGAGTTTAAACGAGTTGATTATGTTGGAACTAACAAGGAAATATGTCGTTGTACTCTTAGAACAACCTACGAATTACCTTGTGCTTGTGAGTTGACAGGATATAGAATTGATGATTTACCGATACCAATAGATGTTGTACATGTTCATTGGAGAAAATAAAGTATGGAAGTTAAGTTGGACGAAGATGTAGATGATGGATCAGAGGTGGATATGAGTAGTGCAATAGATGAGTTATGGAAAAGGTTTAAGTCACTGGATGTTGTTGGGAAAAGGGCATTAAAAAGTAGGGTTTTTGAACTTGCCTTCCCTACAATGACTTCTATGTGTCCACCACCTGAGAAAATAAAAACTAAAGGGGGAGTCAAGAAGAAAGACAAAAAACCAGTAGGATATGATGTTTATAGAGACCCTTCGTATCACGAGTATGTTGATCAAACATCTCAATCTTCACAGATGCAATCTCAACCATCACAAACTTCGAAGAAATTGAAATTATCACAGTCTTCACAAAAGAAATCTCAACCATCACAGGCTTTGAAAAAGTTGAAATTATCACAATCTTCACAGTCATCTAAGCAGTTCATCCTTCAATTTCCTAATCACATCAGGTCATATATTGATGATGTAGTTAATGTTGTATCAGATGGTAATTGTGGATTTCGAGTCATTGCTTCATTGCATGGATATAGTGAAGATGGTTGGCCAATGGTTCGTCGAGACTTGGGGTTGGAAATAATACATAATGAAAGATCAAGTTTGTATGTCAATTTATTTACTGATCAGTTAGCAGTAGTGAGAGAATCTTTGATGATAGAGGAATTTGGTCCTCAGCCACCACATAAATGGTTATCTCTACCAGATATGGGTTACGTGATAGCGAATCGTTATAATGTTGTACTTGTCTGTTTAGGAATTGAATGCTGGACTTTCTTCCCTATGACATCTTCATTTTCACCGAATGTAGCAATTTACTGCATTGGTTTTGTAAACAGAAATCATTGGGTTCAGGTACTTAGTTGTTTTTAGATAATGCGATTAAACCTAATTCTTTTTCGTTATTTTTACTTAATATTGCGAGTTATTTTTTTATTTAGGTAAACATGAAAGAAGGGTTTCCATTGCCACCCGTGACAGTAGATTGGAAGAAGTTTCGTTCTCCAGCAGCAACATCTTGGATGATAGGATTTGCAGGACGTCTACAACATTGGCAACAACTTACGCCTATATTACCAACGCATTATGAATTATAAATTATGTTACTCATTTTTAATTTCAAAACAAGAATCGTGAATTATGTTACTCGTTTTTAATTGCAAAACATGAATCGTGAATTATGTTACTCATTTTTAATTACAAAACATGAATCGTGAATTATGTTACTCGTTTTTAATTGCAAATCATGAATCGTGAATTATATTAACACATAAACATAAACTAAATAGGTCAAATTAGTCTAAAAGTTAACACATGAACATAAACCAATTAGGTCAAATCTGTCTAAAGGTTAACATATAATCATAAATATAAATAAAAGTCACTATGATAGACCAAGATGTAAGGCTTCGAACAAATCAGCAAACTGTGGCTCATCCTCTTCAGCACCAGTCTGCTGAAGATAACGATGTATCAATAAAGACATAAGAGCCACTATAGGATCAGATGGTCCTGCTTCATATACAAGAACTGACATCTCTGTTGTTGCATCAACACTGGGTGGTACCAGACGAGGATGCGAAACACGCTAATACCTCTCAAGATACCCATCATCTGTCTCATATGGGGTGGTGGCCGGTGCTGTCGGACGAATCGCATTCTGAACGCTATGATGGTAACTAATCCAGTCAACATCAATATCACCAGCTATTCGAGAATCAAGAGGTGGATGTGGAACATACTGCCTGTATCCAAACTGACGCAAACATCTGTCAGGCATGTATGGAACAATAGTGTCACCCCACCTCAGACACCCCCTATAGAGACATAACTCATCAAACTGACGCCATACTCTATGATTCTCGAATGGGCGCCATATGACATCAGCATGTGTCACCTCGTCCAGAATAGGCCGCAAGTCATCCACCTTCAAGGCACCTTGCCTATAGGACCATCTCATCGCTCGTGGGAGACCCACATTATTAGCTGGTATCCAGTTCTCTCCTCTTTTCCCAAGTGTAGGAAAATACTCATGAATCCAACACTGTTACAAAATTTAAAATAATTAATTATAACATAATAAACTAAATAAATAAAATTAATATACTAGATAAAATTAATTAAAACAAAATATACTAAATTAAAATAAATACCTGTAGGAGAGTCGGATAACCACCAAGCTGCTTACAGCTGAACATGGAAGCATCTCCGAGATATCGGTAAAGAGTAACCAACACAGCTGCTGCCCAACTGTATCTTGATAAGCCATCCAAGTCTATAAACAGTGAGACGTATCGTGCCTCGACAAGCGTAAACGTCTTGTCCGCAAAAATAGTGAAACCCACTAACATCAACAAATAAGCTCTAGTGGCATAATCCCATCGAGATGCAGCTCTGTGCTCTACGAACCGATCATATAACCACTCCAGCTTATAGTAGGAACCCCTACATTCACGGACTTGTTGCTGTGCTATTCTCTGTGACACTCCCAAATAATCAACAACCCACTCAACAGCAAGCGCTTCACTGATATCTTGAGGGTTCCAGAAGACTCCCCTGATGGGCAAGTGAAGCAGGCAAGATACGTCATCTAGAGTAATCGTCATCTCACCAAACGACATATGAAATGAAGATGTCTCTAGAGGCCACCTCTCTGCAAGAGCGGAAACTAGGTTTGTGTCTATCTTTGTTAAACTGGTTCTCTAAAGTGAAGTTAGACCAGACCTAGATATCCAGCTCTCCATCTCTCTGGGTAACTGTAGTGGAACCCTCTGAGTCAACTTTAACCCATGTCCCGCCACCTTTAACTCTTTCTTCGACCCTCTCTCCTGGAAAAAAAATTAAAAGTAAAAATATTATAAAATTCAATATTAAAAATTCGAATTCTTTTCAATATTAAATAATTTTCGTTTACTTACCTCACCGAACCATATACGGTATGCAACATGTTGTTCGTATTTAACTAACAGAGACGTATCATACGGTCCTCCGGGATATCCAACCGGCTCGGATGCTGATGCAGATGCATCAAAATGCTCTTCTTCAGCCATCTTCAATGACTCGCCCTGTCCTAGTCCACGAGGGATCCTACCATCTCTGTCTCTTGTGCGCACCACTGGAAAAAAAAAATCAATATAACTAAAAATAAAAAAAATAAAAAAATAAAAAAAAATAAGAAAAAAAAAATTAAAAAAAAAACAATAAACCGAAAGTCTTCAAGAAAGACTTCCGGAGATGAAACGAAACTTTGTGTGGACCAGATGTCTTTAGGAAAGACTTCCGGTGACTAAACTAAAATTTTTTCTAAACCAGAAGTCTTCAAGAAAGAGTTCCGGTGAACAAACTCAAAAGTTTGTGAACCGGAAGTCTTCATGAAAGAGTTCCGGTGAAGAAGCAAAAACAAAATACAAACCGGAAGACTTACTCTTAGTGTTCCGGTATGTATTGCAAATGAAATGTGTTCCAGAAGTGTTTGTGTAAGAGTTTCAGTTTGTAACAAAATTTGAGAGCTTCCGGAAGTCTTAAAATGGAAAGTGAGAAATGGAAGTGAAAATGAAAAAATGTTAAGATTATAGATATTTAACTAAGGGTATTTTGGTCCAATATTTTTGAGTGTAGGGGTGTGGGTATAAGGGTAGGGGTATGAGGTAAAACTTTCACCTTGTAGAATCATGAAATATAAGCTACTTTAGTACACAAAATGGCCTTGGCCCAATAAATCTCTTTTATAATTTATAATAATTAACTTCTAAATAAATTTTAATATAAATAAACATTAATAAATAAATTATCATCATTTCAAAGACATAACTAATTCAATTAAAAATATTAATAAATAAAAAATTTAGTCATCAATGCCACGTCATTAAAAGTAATTTTTTTATCCCAATTATCAATAATCACATCTTTAGATATGCATTGACATTGACAATGTAAAATAGATATACACTGTTATCCAATAAAAAATCAACAATCTACCATATCAATTTTTTTAAAATATCAATATGATACGAGATTCATGGTCGTCATTGGTTGACCGTGTAAAAATAATATACATAGGGTATTATCTATTTTCTCTATACTTAATCATTGATCATTATTGTATTAAGTTTAAAAAACTTTTATTTTGAGTGTTTTTTCCTTCTCAAACATTATATTCCTAATTTCCTATACTTGATCATATATACAACATTCAAGGCAACAAACGAACAATGCATCAAACAACCAAATAAGGCTTCTCAATAACCAAATCCTTTGATTAAACTAAAAAGTTGTTTATGTTCCAAAAAGGTTTAATGAAACAAAAATTCCAAGGATGTTTCATTGAGGAACAGTGGCTGTTAATGTCACATGCCTAGGGTCAGTAAGAATTGATGTTATGTTCACAAAACCAGCTTCCCTCAGTGTTTCATCCATATCAGTCAAGTAGTACTCATCAAGAAACGGTTCTGTGCTCTTCATCAATGTAAACAGAACCGGAGACAGCTCCTACAACACATGAAGAAAACAAATGAAGAACTTTGATCATGTTCGAACTTCTGAACAATATGGTCAAGAAGAGAAGCTGGAAAATACCTGTAGGGCTTTCGACTTTGGCTGCAAGAGGAAATATGAATGATATCAGTGTTTGTGATAGGAGCGAAATTAAAAACGAAACATGATCATGATTTTATTATATACCGAATTATCTGTCATAGCTAGCGTGCCTCCAGGCCGAAGGAGACGGAATGCTTCCTTTACTACATTTACTATAGCTCTTGTAGGACATTCATGAAACTGAATAAATCGAAAAACATTAGTCTCTAAACAATAAAGTGTGTATACATAGCCGTCTGCATAAATTTTGGGCCATGTGTGGTAGCATGTCTTGCACGGCCTCAAAGACGGTCCTGTATGTATATAGAAAGTAAGGTGAGAAAATGACATACCACATAAGCAATAGATACAAGGTCAAATGATTTAGAAGGCAAGCCTGTGTCTTCTCCATTTGCGTGTATCCATTTTATAGGATTTTTTCTAGTTGTTCCTCTCTTTTCCTTATGCTGCGCGACGGATAGAAAGTACGGTGACAAATCTAGCCCCTAGAACAAAACATTTCAATACCAAGCATAAGGCTTCTCTTACATGGAGTTGACAAAGAAATTTCATTCATTAAAAACTCACGGTGACTTTCGCTGTAGGGAACTTTTCTGCAAGATATCTTGAGCTTACTCCGACAGAACATCCAATGTCTAGAATGTCATCAATCGTGGATGTTTGGGAATGCTGTAGATGGTGTTGTTCAATTGCATTAAGCCAATTTCCGCGTAGGATCTGAGTCGCTTCGTCTACTGAAGAAGCGGTAGGAATTGCTCGTCTTCCCATTGACTTAGTAGCAGCTTCAGCTTCTGCTGCTGCCTATCATCACATAACACAGACCTTAATGATATCATATAACAAAGGCGTATATGGTGCCTAACACATATCAGTGTCAGACACTGACACGACACAGATACATGTAATTAAAGTTCAAATCAGCAGTTACCACTTACCAGCCATGTAAGATTCCCCTCATCATATGCATGGAATGGATTCAAATAATCTGAATAGAAAATTCATGAAATCACATGAAAGCTGAAAAATGCAATACAAAAAAAGAGAAAGAACAAAAGTAAGATAAAATTACAATCTGGATATACTAAAGACTTGTTTTGAATGCTGTCAAGCTCCTTATAAACATCTGACTCCAAAATCTCTTTTGTCATTTCCCTCCAAGGTATGTTATTTTTCTCAGCTGTACTGTGCATTCATTCATATAAAAAAAACAAACATTGATTAACGTTATTGAATTTGAAACCGTTCCTATTATACAAGTTAAAGAATGTGACAAAACTAGTTATGCGAAGTGCGATGGTTAACCTTATTAAGACCTGTCTAGCACCAAGCTTGAGTATAGAGTATAAGGGTTTGAAAGAGATGAGAGCTCGAACCAAGCGAGAGAGAGGGGTCTCTCCGGTCCATTTTGGTCGGACCAAGTTTCCTTCTTCAAAAGTACTGACTTTGAGGGAGGTTGTTGTGTCGGACGCCGCCGCGGGAACTGCCATGTAACGCCGTGCTGGTGTTCTTGATGTTGCGGTGGCGATGCCGTGCGAGGAGATTAATGAAGAGAGGTTGTGAAGTGGTGGTGATGACAGAGCCATTGTGTGTGAAACTGTTGCAAACTTTTTGCGACCGCAAACATATCCTATGTTATAAAGTGTAATATCTCGTTCACCAACTATATGCTGCCACGTGGAGCTTGATATAAAGTGTAATATCTATATTTTCGATTAGGCATATCATTGGGGTGGGTGGGAATGGGCAATTTCATTTAGGGGCTAGGATCCTCTCCATTTATCTTTCAGCAATGCTATTTTGACACTCACTTTTACACTACACACCAATACGGTGAACAGTAAATGAACAGTGTCACAACAGTATGAACAGTACCATGAACAGTGAACAATGCTCGTGAATAATATTCGTAAATAATTTTTTAAATTATGAAATAAAGTTGGTTAATAAAATATAAAAAGTTGGTTAATAAAGTGATGAAGTTGGTTAATAAACACCTAGAATTAAAAATAATTTTTAACAGTAAATAAAGTTAGTTAATAATATGTAAAATGTTGGTTAATGGAGTTATAAAGTTGGTTAATCACGTAATTTTATATCAGTATCATTTAATTTAAAAATAAAATAAAAAGAATTTTTTTATATATTTTTAAAAAAAATATATTTAATTTTATAATAATTTTATAATATTTTAGTGTATTGTAAAAAATGAGTGTCAAAATATCATTTCTTTTTATCTTTCCCTCCATTGTCTTTATTACTAAAGTTTTTTCAGATAAATAGCACATAGAAGATAAATAGCACATAGATTGTGACATTTATTTTAACTTTATACACATAGAAGTAGTTGAGCCTTCCATTTTTATTTTAGAAAATTGAGAGACTCTCTACTCACAAATAGACATGTTTTGCAAAAGTCTATAAGTACGAGGATGCGAATTTAAAATTGTCTCGTATTAAAATGAGTATGAACTCGCGAAACTAAATATTTATGTTAAAAAATACAAAATTTATGTTAAAGTTCATGTTTGTAAAAACTCGCAAAAACATGGAATGAGGCGAACACATTAAAAGGTGTGAGTTTACATCTATGACTTGTCTCGCACTAAGGTGTGGACAAAACGGATCTGTCCTTTTGCCACTGAGTACTGATGGCCAAATCGATCCATTTTATTAAACATGTTCATTTTATCCGTTTTTTTGGATTTGATTAATATTTTAAATTCATACTCTTTAATATGGCTGTTATGTTCCAACTTAGTTTTTGCAAGTTTTTGTAAGCGTGGAGATTAACATCATTTTATTTTTTAGATTTTAAAGGTGCAATGACTGTGAGTATGTCCCCACTAGGTCTCATTATTTTGTGGGTTGCACCAAAGTTTTAAATATGCACCCTCAATTATGTCGTTCTTCCCTCAATTATGTCGTTCTTCTCTGTCTCATTTTTTACGGACTTTTGTTGGGTGTGCCTTAACGAAGAAAGCATACTCAGTTGCCATTCCAAAGTAGAGGCGGAACAAAGTTAGAGAATGCATCTCTTTCCCCGCCCTTATATATATTTCTCATTCCAATATTAGATTTTCGTTATAGTAAAATTTTGTTTTTTAAACAAAATTTCCACCTTCTTATTTAAATCCTCATTCGACCCTCTAAATAAGATTGTATTATCATAAAAAAAACATTCATCTCGATGCTAGCTCTTAGATGTATTTTGTGAATACATCTAAAATTAAAGTAGAGATTTATGGTTGAACATTGATGCAAACCTATTATAATAGAAAAATCGTCCGTCTCTCAACTATGTGTCTGCACATTGGTCGATATCCCTTTATATATATTTTCAATAGTTTAAATATATGTGACCCTAACATCATCCCTATCTAAGACTTTTCACATATTCATAAATATAAAAGAATAACAAAAATAAATATATTATTTATAGTCAAATTAATAGTAAACAACTTTAAAAATTAATCATATAGGACAAATCTATTATTTCAATAATATTAATATTTTATCCGGAGACGAAGTGATAATAACTACTATAAACACACATAATTGAGAGTGTCATTATTTAAATTTCAAAGATGACATCCAACCAACCTAATAGTATTGACTTCTGTCCGTTGAACTTTACTCAAGAGAGTTATAATTATAAAAAAATTTAAAATGATTATTCGAATATTTCTCATTTTCAAATATTACTTATAAATTAATTTTTTTATAAGATAAATTGTCTCCGAAGTGCCTTTAAAAACTTTGTTTCTCATCCCCATTTTATAAGGAAAAATTCTCCTTCTCAATGCCCTAAATGAAACAATCCTCGCTAGCTGTTGAAAATTCACATCCTTAATCTCAATGACAATTTCTCTAATAATTTTCTCTTTATTGATTATTTGAAAACAAAAATCTTAAATTTGGTAAAAATGTGTAGTATTGTAAGAACAACCATTAGAAAGTTAAGTATATCCAAAACTCAAAATTCAAGCACACCAGAAAGATTGGAATAGCAACATTAGAGCATGTGTACATGAGTTTACATCTTACAAGAAATCACCATTAAACTGTTGGTATGAAATATATAGAGATCCAAATCACTAATGAAAAGAACTTATAAGAAATCTTCCAAAGATGAAGAACTGAAAATAGAAACCCTCCTTCTTTTTCTAGCTCCTAACATATCCTGTGAAACAGAAAATCTACTAACCACAGACTTAAGAGCTTGATAAACAGAACCAGCAAGAAACTGTCTGTATTCAGCATCATCAAAATTCTGTTCCTCACAACTAATTACAACAAACACATTCTTCATTCTTCCACCAAAAGTCGCAATATCTGCCTTCACGATTACGAGACGAAGAGCCTCCAGTGCTTGTCTTATACTAGACAATAATCCAGGTTGATACTCACAACACAGTGATGCTTTAATTGAATAACGAAAACCATTGAATCCACATTCTTGTTCTTCAACACTTATTTCATCGTTGTCCTTCGGTATCACTAAACCTTCACACGCTTGTGTTGCGGTTCTTTTTACCTCTTTTAAATGTCGAATAACTTCACCGAGTAACGATGCTTTGTCCATCTGTAATCATAAAAAGGAATATTAATTGGTTTTATCAATTGTTGAAGCTGAAGTTCTCTGAGACTGAAATTTCAGTCTCTGAAAGCTTCAGCTTCAACATCAATGATTAACAAAGAGAGATTAAAAACGGATTGTGCTAAAGTAACTAACCTTCAAAGCACCTGGAATGACGCTGCGAAGTGTATCGAGATGTGAATTAATTCTCGCTCTTCTTCTTCGCTCTGCATCGCTGTGATTCTTCAAAGCTTCAGCGGTTCTCTCAGTAGACACACCCTTTTGTTCCATTTTAGCAGGTGTTTCCACAAGCATTCCTCTCTCTCTATCCAAAACCAGAGAGAAAGATGAACCATACCCATTTCCATTAACACCACTGTTTACTTGAAAACCATTAGTGTGATCACCAAGTATATCATAACCCCAATCAAAATCTTCCATTTCCATAGCCAAAAGTAGTACTAAATTGTGAACAACAACAATCTTGGAAACAATGGAACAGGAGATGTTTGTTCTCTGTCAGAGTTGTCAGTGTACAAGTGAAGTTCTTGTACCAACTAGATATAAGAAGTGGCTTGTAAACTCTACCCGCAATGCAATACAGAGACTAATCTTTTGAATTTAATAAAACTTAACCGAAATTTCTTATTATAATATTGAAAATGTTGAATTTCAATATTTTATCCATACTAGGATCATATAGAATCAAACATCAATCTTTCTTTTTAAGTTTAGTTCAATCAAATCGTCACACAATCCACTAAAATTATATAAATAATTCTTATATTTTTTAGTTATTCATCTAAGTTAAAATTTAGATTACAAGTGGGTGATAAACCCAATGAATGTTTGGAGCTGAAAAATCTTCTTTTTGAGAGAGATATACTATCGGTATTGATCTATGAAGGACATACACTTTAAAAATAGACGTATCGCAGTGTCCGACACTTTATATTACACTCGTATGATATGTGTCAGAAAAGTCAGACAAATATTTTTAAAAAAATTTTTTTTTTCTTTGTTCGACACTCTTTAAATTGGCTGTGTGTCGAACAATTCAAATGTGTCGAACAATTCAAATAAATTTGATCTACGTCTAAAAAGTTAAACATGTATTTAATTAAACACATGAGTTTTAATTAGAATATTTTTAACTTTTTAAGTAATAAATAGAAGACTTGAGTTGAGTCTCTCACCAACCAACAAGAAGGGTATATTGAATAATGCCAAATGCTGATTTTAGCAAAATTTGAAGGGAATCTTATTGAATAATGAGAGATACAAAATCTATTTATTTGTCATTAAATCATTAGTAACAATATTATAGAACAGCATTAGCAGCAATTTAGATCTCTTGTGATCTCTGAATTGGTTTTATTATTGTCACAATTTGCTTTTCCGTCTCTTCCACGTCTGCAAGCACACTATATTGTAACCATTGTCCACAATTGATAGACACAAAAGAAGTGAACATGTCCAATTAGATTCACACATCTTTTTACTTAATGTCAATCAAAGTTTTGTTCTGTTTAAATTAATTTATGTTGTCGTTCTCAACTTTCAACAGGGGCTAACACGATTTTCAGGGTTGTCTCCAAATTCACGTATAGACTTGGACCTTTGCAATAGATGTATACACTTTGTTCCTAGAAAACAGTGTAGATACTTACTATACTAGTAGTAGTTAATTACCTACTTACCGTAAATATGTTATATTGGATTTGGAAAGATTCCATTTGGTTATGCGTTAGTTAGCAATTTGTAAACACATAGTAACAAAGTTGATTATATCGTCAAACATTCAATTTTATAATCCTAAATATTTCCAATACACAAGGCGTCCTTTAGATTTGCTAATGAGATGGATTATATACGAAAGTTCAATCGAGAGCTCCGCACATTTATATTGACGAACAAGTATACCTTTGGTATGGAGTCGTGCGCCGGAACCAAGCCTCGCGTTCATTTTTACCATTGTAATCCATTCAATTGTCTCTTGTATTGGGTGCTGAGGTTGAGAAATAAGTGTGAGTTTTAAAATCTATATTGTTTTAAAAAAATAGAAATTGAACATTTTATAAGTAAGATAATTCATATGTCTATCACAAAATCGTTTCTTGATTATCACAAAATTCACTTTGGATTTCTTATATTGCATCGTCGCAACCGTTTTTATCAACCATTCTGATCTCCGTTAACTTTTGTCGCAATCATTACTTGTAGCTTGTAAAGCAACTCGATCAAGTGTTGTTTTTCTATTCAATTATTTAATAAGGGTTCAAAGATTACAAGTGAATACCAACAATTCACCTCTCTCAACAACATGAGAGAACTAGTCTATTTATAGACTATTAAACTAACTTACGTTACAAGTTTACTTAACCATTGGGCTTATAAGCAGACTCAATTAAACATGCTAACTTAAACATAAAGTTAACACATTTCGACAACATGTTTGAACAGACTTCAACTACAACATGTGCAATTCCTGTCGAACCATGAATCTATCATTGCCGACACTAGAGTTTGATCCAAATACCATAAATCTCCACCTTGAAACAAACTCTACACTAACAAGTGAATAAACTAGTTTTTATCATGCAACTTTATCAACTGCATACAGTGGAAAAACTTGTTATTCGACAATGGCTTGATGATCATATTAGCAACATTGTCATTAGTCAAAACCTTCAGGACTTAGACTTCTCCACGCTCGATTATCTCTCTGGCAAAGTGCAGCCTCACATCAACGTGCTTGGTTTGCTCATGATAGACTGAATTCTTCAATAGGTGTATTGCACTTTGACTATCACATTTAATAGTGATAACTTGACCTTGAAGTTTAAGCTCCTTAGCAAAATCTTCAATTCACAATGATTCTTTCACAACTTCAGTGATGACAATATATTTTGCTTTAGTGATTGATAAGACAACAACATTCTAAAGTGTCATTTTCCAATTGATTGTTATTCCGAACATAGTGAACACATATTCAAAAATAGATTTTTTGAATCCATACAACCTACATAATCAGAGTCGACAAATCCTTGAATTTCAACTTCGCTATCATCACCACAAACTCCACCATAGACCAGGACTCTGCTCAAAGGCTCATTTATGTACTTAAGAATCCACTTTAATGCTTGCCTTCCAGGATTGACCATATACATGCTTACAAGGTTCACTCCGTACCATATGTCTGGTCTCGCGCAGACCATAACATACATTAAAGAACCTACTATACTAGCATATGGAATTCTATTCGTATAGGTTCTTTCGACTTCAGTACTAGGACTTTGAGTCGTACTCAACTTGTATTGAGGATTAATCGGTGTTAGAACATGCTTTGAATTCGACATACCAAACTTGTCAAGAAGTTTTTTTCCAGGTATGTCTCTTGAGATAAGCATAATCTCGACTACTTTCTATCTCTCTGGATTTTAATCCCAAGAATTCTAGAGGCAACTCCTAAATCCTTCATGTAAAATGTAACACCCCCTTTCTATACCCCCAAGTAATCACATAAACAATTAGTCACATATTAAAAATATTTCACCAGAGTATAGTTATAAACATGGTATAAAAGGGGCGAGTCACATTACGCATGAAATTACAACATACAACACCTGCTCAACAAAAGATATGCAACAGTGGGGTAACTTTGCAACAGAGGAACTTAGTCCTTACACCCACATCTCAATATTTAGAATAAAAGCGGAAAATCTAAACATTGAATAACATCAAACATATATGCATATATACATCATCCAGAATTATTCAACAACATAAGTCATGTTTTCATAAACATTCGCCAACAAGACACATATACAATGTATCACAAAAGAATCTCAAACAGCCTAGCTACCCGGTGCTACATATCAGAGCCAACCGACCAAAAGAATGAAGACACGCTTCACAAAAAGACCTCCAGCATACCTACTCTGCAATGCCTCATAGAGCACCATAAAACAGCAGAAGGGTGAGAAATATTATCATAATAACAATGCATATAATTATATATATATATCATAGCATAAAATACACATAATCTACATTCTCACCACAATTCATCACAACACACTCATATACATCACAATGTATATATATCCATAACACCAAGCATATTCATCATGCATACTTTCATAATTCCATCATTCCACGTAAACATACACAATTATGTTCATTCACCAATGCACCATTATAAAGATGATAAATGCAAATCAAAGGGACCGACTCACGAATCTATGCCAATGCAATGCGGTACCGACTCAATCATCACAAGTTCACTCAGGAACTTATTGGAACCATCGCTCACACCCCACATGGGCACACGATGTTCACCCATTGCTCACACCTCATGTAACGCCCCAATTTTGATTATTCCCATTTTTGTTGAGTCTTTTTGATTTACTTGAGTGATTATTATGTTAATTGTGGATTTATGTGATGATATGTTATGTTGCATATTGTGTTATTTTACCGATTTTGAGAGTTTCGGGGAAAATAGATTGGAGGGTATTTTAGACATTTAGTATTTAATGTTAAGTTGGATATTTGTGAGAAAATGGATTAATAGATGTTTTGAGAGAAATAGAATAGAAAGAGATATAAGTGGAGATTGGAGAGAAAAGAGAATAGAAACATAAGAGAAAGAAAGAGGAGAAAGAGACAAGCAGAGAAAAAGAGGAAAACTTGGAATCATCAAGAATCAACCTTTAGGAGTCGATTTAATCGGGTAATGGTGTGAAATATTGTTATTCTATCCATGTGTATGATTATGTATGCTTTTGTTGGATTGTTGGAGAATTTTTGCTCATTTTCCATTCTAGGGCATAAATGGACTTAATCGGTAGAATCGAAGTTTTAACGGTTAGAATCGTGAATAAGTGGTGTAGTTTAGTCGAAGATTGTTAGGCTAAGACCATGTAAACTCGTTGGAATTGAATCGGGAGATTTTATGGTAGAAAAGAGGGGAATAGTTGGTGAAAATACATTTTTCTGCATAATTTTTCAAAAATGCACAGTGAGTAATCGATTGCACTAATACAGCAATCAATTGCACATTTAACAAAACTGCTGGAAAACTGAATTTTTTGTCAAGCAATCGATTGCACTAATACAACAATCGATTGCAAAACAAAACAGTGGCTAAAATGTGAAAAATTGGGTCAAGCAATCGATTACACTAATACAACAATCGATTGCATACTGTATCAAAGCTGAAAATTGGAAATTTCTGTTCCGACGATTTTGGCCATAACTTTTAATCCGTAAGTCGGTTTTAGTCCCCGTTCGAAGCGTTGGAAAGCTAATGAATAGATCTATAATATAGTATAGATTATATAATTAGTTGCCAAATATTTTTATATCCAATATATTTGGGGAGTCATTGCTTAATAAATCTTAACTAAAACATGGTTTAATTGAGATGATTTATTGATTAATTA